AAAAATGCCTTGAATGTATTTTCGCTTCAAACTGTTCCTCATCTCCCTCCGACAACGTCCAGATTCATGGAAAGCCGATGAGCAGGGTCAGCCATGTAAAGTACTTAGGCGTCACACTTGAAAGTAACCTTCACTGGTCCTCACATACCCAAAGTATTGCTCGCAAGTTGAAAAGGCTCCCTTTTCAGATAATAAGGCTGCGACACTTCTGTTCTGATTTATCGGTGGTAGAGACTTTCGTTCAACAATGTGTCCTCCCTATACCCCTTTACTGCTCTCCTGTAATTTTCCCTGGTTTGTTGAAGGCTGATTTCAAGTTGCTGAGGCGTGGCCTCAATGATCAGCCGTGTCTCCCAAGTTCCGTTATCTGTTCCGATTGGCAATATGTGTAATGCCCATATTTATGCATACCTAAAGTTTGCTGACAATATCCTATCTGATTGCACCCATCCTCTACACACTGACTTGTGTGCATGCAAATCCCACCCCTCCACCCGTTCAAAGTACAAACTTATCCCGTCTTGCATTTCCGCATACCGAAACTCTTTGGTACCCTATCTTGACCGGATACTGACCTACAAGGAAACTGTTCGTTCTGAGGTTTCTGATACATTTGGTAATTAACTCGTACCTTTGTACATTTTCACATCCCACTTTTCCCCCGGTTTTTACCAGAATTGTAACGGTGGTCTATTTTTTGGCTGAAAGCTTGTATATATAACTCACATTAGCTTGAATACATACAATACAATACAATACCCCGATGATCTTCGCTTTGAGGCCCATCACCATCTGTTCCAAACACCTCAATGTAACCAAACCCATTCGTACTTACACGTGATACCATCTACCATGAGATTTATTCTGAAGATGAGACAGATACGTACTATTTTAGATCAGAACAAACTTCATCACAGTACGCAGATCACCCAAGGGGCGTTTTTTATCTGTCTCTGCGTCAAGCTGTGACCACCACAAAACAGTCCTCTTAAATGAACTTGGTCACTGCATTTACAAAACCTTAGGTTGAATACTTACCTACCCATTTACTATAAGGCTTATGTGTTGTTTCGTTTGATAGGTGACAAAATGGTAGCTCTTGTTTAAATCATTAGGTTGCAGGACAAATAGTTGTTGAGACATGCAATCGAGTAATCTAACCAGAGATAAAAAATGGTTGATCGTTCCAGGAGTTTCCGAAATCCTGATTGTTAGTGATTTTACTCAAAATAGCTCTTTCCATAAATCCAGAGAATCAGCTAAACATGGATATATCCCTCGATTATCTTGCTTCAGCTGCAGGATATCCCATCATTCGAGGTAACGTTTACCGGCGAGGCATATGCCATTGGTGTGTATGCAAAGACCTACACAACTAAAAACTCGAACAAAACTCAAAAGTTGGAAAGTACGTTGGAAAAGTTGATTACAGTCTTCACCCCGGCATAGGAGAACAGGCGTGACTTGCTTTGCAATATGTCCAAGGTTCTATGAGATGGTTGCTGTTTAGCATGCCTCGACAAGTGCACATCATCCCATTGAGGGTTGTGTGTTTACTTTGACGGAAAGCATATATACGATGCGTGCTCAATCATAGGTACCCTCCAAGAACAGTCAAAAGAAACGTTTAAGCATCTTTTCATTGACAGTTGCGTTTTGGTTACCATCCCGGATTGCCGAATGACTCAAGCCAACTATGAGAACAAACCAACTGTTGTTATTTTAACTGATAAATTTTCTCTTTCATGATATTATTCCAATGGATATAACTTGTCAGGTCCGCTAGGGTTGAACTTCTTCTTGTCACATTAAAACACTCCTCCCTGTTGTCGCGTACATCATGAGTGGTTTGCGGTTCTTTGAAATCGTTACTGAATTTTAAGCTAGTTCAAAGAATCAACCATCGTCTTCTCTACTTCGGCGCAGCACCGACGACGTGTCTGTGACGAAGGTCAGTCAGAAGGAAACGATTAATCCGGGCATCGCAGCACCCGCAAGCAAGAATAAATTCATATTAAATTCGGGTTATGTTAATTTTGTGCTCATCTGTTTTGTTCTGGGACAAAAAAAATCAGAACAACGATAGATGAACTCAGGTGATTGGCCGGACCAATCAAGACAGTTGACAGCGATCCAGTCAGCCAACCATTTGATGTATGCATTCCCCTATTCTCGCTCTTTCCTATAAATAAGCACAATTTTTTCATGATAGATGAACTTCTCGCTTCCAGCTTTGTTCTATTCCACTACCTGTGGCTTTCCTATCTGAACAAGAACCGTAAAAGAAGGAAAAAGTTGACATTCGAAAAGAGTTTGGGGATTCGACAGGGTCTTCAGGATTTATCGATGCAGAAATTGCCCTTAATTACTTGTATGTGCATTGTTTCGTAATTTTCACCCCAGTCCAATAATGGCTAACCCTCTCCATTAGACTCTCTCGGCTGCCATTAGAAAATGCCACCGTTGTCTGTTTTGTAGTTAGGGCCTGGATAAACATGCTTGGAATGAATTGAGACCATGTGCGTAATTGCTTGTGCTACAGAACAGGCAACCCGTCAAACTATTGTGAAGTAAGTCCGGAAACCGATGCTAGAAATTCACTCAATCAGTCAGTAGCGTGCTCTCACAACCTTCAGTAGGAAACCTGAGATTTCGTATACAGCCTTTGAAAATTTGGTAGCACGGCACCGGCCATATGGGGATTTGATGTTTCAAACCTTTTGTGCTTCATTCAGTCAAAGACCTCATTGGGGGTGACAATGG